GAGAGTGTACCTATAGTTTAGAAATCTCGATCAAAAGCAAAAACAATGTGATTTTTCAGTATTAAAATTGCTTTTGATCGTCATTGAACCCCTTCCAGTTCTTTTTGTTTATTTTTTCGACAAACTCGGTCTGTACTAGTCATCTCGATTGTATGTAAAATTTGTTGTGTAATATTATTAATTATACTCTGCTGTTAGGGCCCGACCCATCTATTTTTATTATGTGGCAGTTTTAATTTATATCTGCGTTTTTAATAGTTTTTTATCGAGGTAAAAATTGCTATTTGTATTGAGTTTTGTTTGAATATCGAGTATTTATCATATGGAAAAGGGTAACTTTGTTATTTAGTGTAAATAATATATTTTCAAATCATTGTCTAATTTTCGAAAAAAATGTCCTACTTATTAGAATTATATCTATCTGTGGAATTAGGTTACAATCAATAAATTGGGGATCTTTACTAATTATTAGGGTTCAATTCATTATTTTAAATTGATAACGGAATGTCTGCTGCAGAGCTTACAAGAGTTCAAAAACTAAGTAGATTTTGTCTAACGCCATAATGGTGGAAATTATGATAAAATACCTGGTCATTTGAAACTGTTTGAATTTTTGAAGACTGAATTTGAAGCTACAACCTGTTCTGGAAGTTCATTTGCATTTGCTATATTTTGCGATATTGGTATGGGCAAAATGTATTTACAATTTTAATATGCAGCCTATCTTTTGCTACGGTCATTATAATGAAAAACTACGACGTCAACCGACCAATCAACTGGAATCTCGTCATTTATGCCACTAAGGCTGCCAAGAAGATATTCCAGGAGATGATCCATATGTAGTATTCTAGAGCTGCACATTCCGCCGGAATGATTACAGGTCACCCCAGAGAATCAGGATATCATCTCCTGGCTGTTAGGTGCAGTGCAGATGCATCACAGATGAATAACTTCCCAATGCACACATTTGTGTTGCTTACCTACCTGACAAAAATAACGTAACCGACGATCTTATTACATCTTGGAGTATACATCCATAACATATCTATAAGGTATCTTCGGGCTATTTGAGGTATGAGGCAACAAACTATAAAAAATTTTTAAAATGCAAGGAAATCAGGAGTATGGGATCATTATGAAAGGTCACTAACTGAATATAACAAAGCCCTGGGGAAATCCAAGAGAAGACATGGAGGAGACAATGCGAACAGGACCAAAATACCGAAATATATATACCAGACTCTGCAAGATACTCTCAAAAGAACCTAGGGTCTTTATAAATAACTCAAGAACAAACGTCGGGGAGTATACAAAAACAGGAGGAGAGACGATAAGAGAGATTCTCCAGATGCACTTCCCCAGTTCATACGTTATATGACCGCCGCCAAAGATAGAGATCTCAGCAAAAAGAATCCTGAAAGTATTCTTCCAGGGTATAGTAGGCCCTCCCAACTATGAGTGTTTTTCCAGATTTTCTTAACTTGACTTCGCTTTTGATGACACGCAAGGTTAAGGGAAGGTGATTGAAAATTTTCTTGCCCTCAAAAATTACAGAGTTGTGAGTTAAGGTTGAGGAGGGAATTGGGAGCGAGATCAAGTGAGAGGAGCGAGTGTTATAGGTTGACTCAGAAGTAACTATAGCTTGGTATTTCTTGTGCATGAGGCAAGCCATTTCCAAAATATAGATACAAACAAATGTCAGAACTCCATGTTACATAAACAAGGGACGACAGGATTCACGGTAATCAGAACTACATAGGTATCTGATTGCTCTTTTTTGGAGAGAGAATACTCTGAAATAAATACTGAGCACAAGCGCCCCAGAAGCAGATTCCATAACGAAGATGAGATTCTATTAGTGCGTAGTATACTACAAATCTAACGTTAGAGTCCTGGAAAAATTCAGAAGTGAATTCCCCTAAAAGTCGCCGGGACCGGATGGCATTCATCCAGTAATATTGCAGAAAGGACTGAAATGTCTACTTCAAAAACTGTGTGTAATCCTTGGAGGAAATGTGGCGTCTGGGATACATACCCAAAACATGAAGACTGCTTAGGGCCACCTTCATACTAAAATCTGTGAAAATTGAAAATTAACTGTCTGCTTAGAGGCACCAAATTGAGGAATAGGTAAATAAGAAACATAAAGAGTACTGAAAAGACACATGGAAAAACCTTTATGAAGAGGCCTTCTAAGAAAGGGACCGAAAAACTGCTTCAAAAAAGCAAGGATTGGCTCAGAACAATTACAGGGCTACTTGCTGGACGCTATCCATTAGGACACCTGAATAAAATAGGGCTGTATAACGGAGAACTCAACTGCACGCAATGCAACAAAGAGACGAGAACCGCTCGTTATATTTAATAATTAAATGGGACTTTAATACCATTAATATTTTTTTAGAATCAAAAAGTAATATTAGTGAACTGAGTATTGAAATAGGTGAAATGTAGATAAGTATCTCAAGCTGGTTGGCTTTCATCAGTAGAGTCAGCCAAGTGCAAGAATAGGCGACACTTATTTGCACAAAAACACACATTTAGAGTCAGCAATAGGAGGCAGCCTACAATATAATGGATTCAGTCAGTACACCTTATGTTTACTAGGATTCAACCTAAATTACCATAGAGATTGCCATGACCATGATCACCTTTGTTACATCTATGGTGGCATTCCAAATCTTATTGCTGACTCCACATGTGTGTGCTCTGTACAACCGTTCTGACAAGAGTCAATAGGCCTGAAATAAATCTATTAAGGTCCAATAGCTTTACTTTTGATGTTTATTATGGAACCATTTTTTTTTTTCGTATCAATCAAAATCTGTTAGACTATGTCATGGGATAAACTTGCATAATTGTATTTATTTGCTTACTGACTGATTATTGCAGAATCCAACAAAATAACTTTTCCACAAACTAAAGTAATACTCTTTTAAACACAGGTGTTCTCGTTACATTCGTTGTATACCAGAGGATCCAAATTTACCATTTTATTAAAGATTAAAAATGTTGTCATTTAGAGTTACTTGGTTACCATTATAGGAAAGTAAATGACTGTCGATTATAGGATACTTTTAGTTTAGCAGCTGGGTTCAACAAATTTTGTTCAATAATGTTTTATTATATTCAGGCAATCAGGGAAACCCAAAAACGTGAGGAGGAGGAGAGGCTAAAGCGTGAAGAGGATCAGAGATTGAAGCTTCTAAAAGAGGAGGCGGAAAAGAAGGCTAAAGAGGATGCCGAGAAACAAAAGGCTGAGCTGCAAGAGAGGCTGAAAAATGAAGAAAAAGAAAGAGAGGCTCGTCGTAAGAGAGTCGAAGCAATCATGTTGAGGACGAGAGGGAAGAATAACTCTAATTCGCCATCACAACAGGTAATTGATGTACATTTTCAAGTCTAATGAATTACATAATATTGATTGATTTTTTATAGAGTACGGAGGATAAAAATAACGAGAATAAGTCTGACGAAGATAATAAGAGTGTTGAAGAGAGTAAGGTGAATGGGACGAAAATCGTTGAACAGCAGGAAAATGGAACCATCAAGAATATGAAAGGCGATGAGATTGTAGATAACATGTGAGTCTATAATGATAATAATAATAGAATGTATTCATCAGTCAAAAATTATGCATGGCTTTATACTTACACATGTGTATGAAACTTATCAGACAAGTCAAAACAAAAAGAATTCAATCTACAAATAAGTTGTTGAGATAGTGTAGTCGCAAAACATAACCAAAAAATTATACATGTTGATATTAAGTTTTTGATTTGGGAAAGGGGATAATTTTTTCATTTTTAGAATAGGATGTTTGAATGGTTCACTTTGAAATGACATATTTTTTGGTTCTACTATAAGATACAGTTCATTTCTTGATTTTACTTGGTTTACTTGGTCAGTTTAAAAAGTAATATAATACACAGGTACATTATATTTGATATAAATATGAACTAATCAAAAGTTAATTAGTCGAAATGTAACATTATATAAAGGAATAATACTGTGAGATAACGAAATCATTATAGACTGCTCCAATGTTGAACATAAAAAATCGAGTGGAAATTTTATTTTAAAAATGCAGGCAACAAACATTTATGTATATTTATATTGGTAGTCCCAGTATATACTCGAACAAATCAACTTTTGAAAAACAAAGTTTTATGTATATTAAATGTTGATAAAATAATTGAGAAATTTGTTTTAAACAGATTCATTTTTTTATTTGTTGAATACGAAATCCTACAAAATTGTCAGCATGGCTTTTAACAAGACTGATCTACTGATATGGTAATGATTGAATTCACACAGTATGTATCTGAGAATTTCAAGCTGAGTTATTTTGTAACAAAAATCTTTCTCAACTTTTCAAGTGAATTTAATATGCTAAAATATTGTGAAAATAAACTCGAACTTTTGGGTATGAGAGGCTTGTTGAAAATGGTTAGGGTGCCTCTTATGTAACTAATCGTCAGCTCATATTGTGAATATAAAATGTCTTATCAAAAAAATTCATTATTGTTACTTCATAAGGTGGTAACGTGGGCCCACCTTGAAAGCCATGTATTCTCCACGAATGAGCATGTAGTTCGAGAAGAACCTGAGGGTTTTCCATTTATATTGAATAGTGTCAAAACTTCGATGGCTCAGCACATGTTAACTTTGAAGCAAAGCTATTCGGCTTGCCCTATTTTTAGAAAAACAGGATGAACACATGCTCATTCGGGTTGAATGCTCAAATGAATAAAAGGTTAAGTTCAGAAAGAATATTCGTGTATGCAAATGATACTATAAATAGTTGTAAGTGGTAAAACCACGGAAGAAACAAATGACAGAGTGACATAGCAATTAACACGTTATCAATATAAACAAAGTATGTATCAAAAGTTAATAAGCAGTATTACACTGAATATACGTGAATACACAAGATTTCTGTCCACTTCAGTGATTCCAAAAGTCAACTGGACTTTCAAATTGACTTTACAGCAAACTATTAACCATTATAAAACAGTTGAAGAGACCAATAAACAAGACATCATCATTTGATGTATACGATGGGGGACTATTTATATTTCGGGAACTGGTAACACTAATGTCAATAGATAAAATTGGACATTTTTAGCATAAACATACTCACAACGTTTTGAGGTACAAGTGCTATTTGTTTTGTTTACAGTGAGTTAAGAAAATCAATTTGACCAAACAATGGAAATTTCAAGTTTTCAGTTTTTTATATGGCGATAAAGCACCATCAAAAACCACAGTATATCGCTGGTATAGTGAATTCAATTGTGGTCTGTTGTGCCACAGAACATCGATGCAGTGCGTGAACTGATAATGCAAGATCGTCATGTGACATATTGTGAGATAGAGGCATCCTTGCACATTAGTTCCACTTCAATACATTCGATTTTGCATGAACACTCAGTTGTTAAAAAAATGTTCTCATTGGATACCCAATAATTCATCAATCGCTCAAAAAAAAGGCTCGCGTCAGGTGGAGTGAGGAAATGATTGAAAAGTTCGACCGTGGTGCTTCAAAAGACGTGTATATAATCGTGACAGGTGACAAATCATGGATATATGCGTATGAGCCGTAACAAAACAAATTGACCGGGCGGGTGTTCCAAGACGATCTGAATCCAACAAAAGTTGTTGGAAGAAGCACCGCGAAGCAAATGGACGCCTGTTTCTTCCGCCGAATGGGTCATGTGGCCACTGTTCCACTTGAGCAACGTAGAACATATATTTAGTAGAATGGAATACTACATATTGATCATCTCTTGGAATATCTTCTTGGCAGCCTTAGTGGCATAAATGACGAGATTCCAGTTGATTGGTCGGTTGACGTCGTAGTTTTTCATTATAATGACCGTAGCAACTTTCCCATATGAGGGCATCAGCTTTAGCTATTGATACATTAGAGTCAAATAAGCAGAGCTTTTCCACCTCTGGTTTGAGTAAAACATCGTTAGAGCCAAAACATTTGCCGACTTGTTCAGGGAGAGCTTATTTCCTGTACTGAAGCAGATTCTGCTTGTGCTGCTCAAGAATTTGGTGTAAGGCAGGTTCATAAGAAGTTTCCTGGCTGCACCACCGAATCTCCTAGGTTTGTTAACAGGAACGAGAAATGAAGAACCGAGACCTTGTTCTTGATCCGATGTTACACGGAGGACAGTTGCTGTCGAACTGTAACGTTTCATTAAAAATTTTCAAAAAATGGTGTATTGATTCACTTCTGTACAGATGAACCATCAGTTTTATTTGATGAAAAATAAACATTCCACAATTAACACAAATATAGTTTTGGAACGATAATAACCAGTTCCAAACAAGAGAATATATTATTAGTATGTTGATATGGTATTGTAGTTCATTTCAATAATAGCTAACCTGTAGTTAATGGTAACAGAATTCAATGATAGTCTGAACCAAACTTAGTAGTAGGTAATCCATATATAACATACCTCAGTAATTTGATGAACAGTAATCTAAATTTATTCAAATAATAGGACTTGACAAGAGTTTGAATGAATGAACATAACTTTAATTAAAAGTCATGAAAAAGATCAGTATCAGTAAGAACTTCAATTGCCACATTGAAATATTGCAAAATGCTGTTTTATAGAAGGTAATAGTACACATACCTCTTGTAGTCTTTCTTGCTCTGCTTGCCTACGCAACTCAATCAGTTGCCTCACTTGTTCTTCTTCCATTTGCTGTCTCTCTAGCTCGGCTTTGGCTTCAGCTTCGATACGTAACCTCTCCAGCTCGGCTTGCCTTTCAGTCTCTTCTCTAATCAAACGCCGTTTTTCAGCTAGAGCAGCTTTGGCTTCTTCCTCTGTGTTTATACGGACCTTAATCATAGACGCTGTCATGACGTTATTGGAATTATTTTCTGTATTATCAGTGTTATTTGACTGTTCTGCAATAAAATCTTTAGAAGTTTCGGAAGAAATGTTGGTTTTGGGTTGTTCAACAACCTTTTGTTTGATTTCCACTTGTTTCAATTCCCTAATAGGCTCAACTTTTTGGTCTCTCACAGGTTCTTCTTTTATGTCTTTAGGAAGATCCCGCTTTTCGTCTTCTAAACTCAGTTTCTCTAATTTCTCTAAGTTTTTTGATTCTTCAAGTGTTTCTTCTGCTTTAATTACTTCTATACTCCCTGCTACAACTATATCACTAAAACCTAAATTGGTGAGGGAATATTTTTCAGGGAAGATTAGTTTTTGAGAAAATGCTTTTTGAATTTCTACTTCCTCATCATTATACAAAAAAAGTTTTTTTAAGAACAAAACAGAAGCTCTATAGGAAAATCTGCAAGGTACTCTAGGAGCGGTGCCTGTGAGAAAGTAGCGATTCACATTGGATTAGAATCGCTGCAGATTAAATTCATTTGAAAAAACGTTCTCAGGAAGTTTATTCCACATAAACGCAGATTTCCAAATGAAAGAATGTGGAATATTTTCGAAGAAAGGAAGAACGTAATTATCTTTAATAGTATTCCCTACAAAGATGTGTAAATCAGATCATGGACAGAAGTTTCTTTCAGATACAAACTGAAAGAAAAAGTCTATCAGTAAGTACTTTCAAATATATAAACACTGAATACCCCAAAATAACTTTTTGTTATTCAGTCGGTACTTCAAAGCATTCGTAATGGAAATGAATGTTCATGATCTGCACATCTTTGTAGAGAGCTTTTATTTGAGTTACTTTCTTCCTTACTTTAGAAGAGTCATTCTACATTTTTTGTATAATGATGCAGAAGTAGAAAACCAACAAGTGCTTTTCCAAAAACCAATAAAACTTTCCATTTATTAATTTTTTAAATCGACAAATTATATTTATTAATTATAATGTACTTATACTTTTCAATTTACCATGTAATTTGAATTTTAATGTTGATGCTTAGCTACTAAGCTGTGTCAATAGAAATGTTGATTTTTTCGACAATAAAGTATATTTTCTCTCTTAGTCTAATTGTCAAACTCGTTTGTTTGAAACATACATCTATAAACTGTCAAATTCTTACTCAAGTCACTGATGCAAAACACGATTTGGAGCAAAACTTATTCGTTGTTCTGTCTTTATACCATTTAGACCGATTCTCTCAGGAGAAGAATACGATTATGTGAGTCAATTAACCACCTTCAAATATATAAACATTGATTCCCACAAAAACACTTTTCTCCTATTCAGTTTGTACTTCAAACATCCGTTACGAAATTTAAACAGATATCATTCACAAGAACGCTACACAATGTTATATGTGAATAAAATTGATATAAAATTTAATTCACATGGAAATCTATCATCCTCAAAATGTACTTCTTGAAGTTTCCGGTCACCTTTTTGAACTTTTGAATACGAAAACACACGCATTTCTCGCACAGTATTAGACTTTATGTCACCTGAAGAGACACACCCATTCTTGTCATAAAGACACTATGTAAAAACATTCATACGGTTGTTTGATTCAATCCCAGCCATAGGAAATCTGACAAAAAATATATCAGTCGGACTGAGCGAGTCATGAAAACTTGTTTCAAAAAACACGCCGATATCGAAGACCAGAAAAATTTAGTGTTGCTCAACACGCATTGAAAAACGGCTATAGAATAAATGAAAACTGTCCGAAATTGTTGAGATCAATACATGACACTGGAATTTTTGATGTTTTTGAAAGTCTGGAACTATGACCAAAGGCTAAAGTCCCATTCCAAACAGCCCATTGTTTACCTTTAGAGGGAAATTTTACAAGAAGATTATCCGCAAATTCATTGATGTGTGTTTGAAAGTGAAAGTGCACCCTGTGAAGCGAGTTGCAGTTCTGGTGTTTGTAAACCATATTTTATATTACCCAAATGTGATTCTGAAAATGTGCCTGACTTGGTGAAAAAATCATCAATTTGCGGTAATGGTACTTATTAAATACAGTTATTCCAGAACAAACAATTGTGAAACACTGAAAAACAGGATTTTCTTGAACAAAAGATGCTTTTTTATGCAGGAAATCAGTGTTTTTATCGACCTTCTTTGGAGAAATAGCAACAGACTAATATCAAAGAACACATTGTACTACATCGAATGTTTCAGAAGTCAATCAACAACAATGACATATTTCACATTTCAAAACTCATTCGACATTTATCGTAAGTTTAGAAATAAAGTGAATCAGAAAAAACAAAACTGTTAATATACTTAGATTTTTCCAATTCTGAACACGGAGGCGGATTTTAGCCCCCGAAGTATTAAGATAAGTATCTACTTGAATAATTTCAGCATGGTCCTGTTGCTGGATGAACGAGAAACATCTGCGAGACTTGCCTCTGTGAGGAATCTTGCATAAATGTCTGTGGATACACATAATTCAATATCCAGCGTGGTATTAGCCGGAGAAGTAGTTGTTTTCCGATAGACGTTTACCAGACCCTACTGTCTAGGTAGTTGGGAGAGGCTGATATTTTGAAATTTATTTCGAAATATTTATTTTTTCTTATAGGTATGTATCTCTCCTCGATGATTGTCACTCCCGTTTTCACTTTTTATATTCTAAAATATATAGATGTCATAGAAGATTGTTGTTTTATAAAAATTGAATTTTCAATCTAACAATACCTATCAAAAAACTTAACTGGATGAGAGGAAGAATAATATAAAATTTCCATTTCATACGACAAATCGTTGGATTTTGGTCGATAATTTGAGCAAACAACTTAATAATTTGATATAATAATTGCAACATGTCATTCATTCAAGCATGTTACGGAATGCATGTATACTATTTGATTATATTATCAACCTTGCATAGCCTGAGCTCCAAAAATAGTGAAGAATACATGTTTGAAAAGAATGGTCTCGAAAATTTTCTAATCTCGAAATATCTCCAAGGATAGTTGGTTTGTTTGAGTAAAGTAAATCCACAGTTTTTAAAGCTATATAGATTCTCATTGGTTAGACAATACTGTTCAGTTGAGAATACTAAAACATTAGTCATACTATTTGTAGTGGAAAATAATTCTGATAATAAGTCGTTCAGAGAAGGTTCTGATTGGTTCAAGTCTCAAATCTGTATAAAGCGTACAATTTCATAAACGTCTTTTTGGGAATAGACATGGCGGCTGCTTATATGTGGGCAGCTGATTGAACTTTATGTTTTTTTTTCCACTAACAGAGAATGAATCCTAGTGACTGTCGAATCAATTAGTATCAGATCCTGTTGGTGTATCTATTCAGGTTTTGGGATGGCGTTTTTGAACAGAATTATTATTCTGTAACAATACAGCATTTCTGATATCGTCAAAGGTAGTGTGTAGGACACTTTAATTTTTTATTGTTAATTAATGATCTTCCAGAGTACCATGAGAGGTATTTATGTATGTACATGTCATATCAGCAAAGGTGACAGGGGATGTGCGTCAAAACTATACCAATGCAGATGGGTTCAAAGGATATACTGAAAAATCACTGAAGAATATATAAAAGAGAAACTAATGGAACACATAGAAGTTATTACGAAAGTGATTGTCAGCCTGGAACTAGCCAAAATCAAAATATTCAGTTGATAAGCTTAAAATGGAAAAGGAAAGCTGGCATTTTTTTTATCAAAAAATTGGACTGTCCCTAAAATTGTTTTTTTCATAAAATGTTTTAAGTTATTTTGATTTTTATTTTATATAAAATTAACTTGATGTTAAGCATAATTCAAACCGTCATAACCCTATGCGTTTCCATATTACAAGATGAAAACTAGAAACCTTGACAGAATTTTGAAAGCCAAATTTGTTTATGGTGATGCAGAAATTAGCATTAGACAACTCTTTACTTCATTCAACTCATTAACAACACAAATTTTCCAGTCGTTTAAATTCTTATAATGTCACATAATAGTGATGTAAACAGCAAACAAGGTACAAGAACCTTATATATTGATATTGGGCTTTCAAAAACGTCATCATTGGTATAGTAATACGGAGAGACCAGACTATTGTATTTACACCTATTTTTCCCTACAATAAGAAATAATCGTCGATTGGTTCATGAGTTAAAAAGTATGTGCAATGATTCAGCGAGCGTATAGGCAAATATTTTGAATTTTGGTGGAAAATAAATTGAAGTTTTCACAGTCTGTATTTTTTCTGAAAATAAAAATTGTGGAACCAACTGTTGAGAGAAGGGGGTTATTTCAACTAACCACCCAAAATATATTTATGAAATGAAAGAACTTACTCTTTGAAATTTTCACTAGGAGCTGGTACGTTTTCTACTGGAGGGGCATGATTTTCCACTGGCTTCTGTTGAATGACAGGGGCAGTGTCAGGGGGTTTCTGAAGTGTTTCACCCTTACTCGCTGTACTTTGGACTAAGGTATTCTTCACTGTTTTGGAAACGCCATCTACCGGTGATTTGGCTTTATTTTTCAGATGGCCTCTTTCGGTAATCGAACCGGATTTGCTGAGTGGTTTTCTCGTTTTTGGAAGAGGCGGTTTGTTTTCTTGCGTTACTCCCGTAATAGCTATACTAGCTGGTCTCGGCTTACGTGGGGTTGAATTCAATCGATGTCGCACGCTTACTGAACTGGTTACACTGTTTGTGCTCTGTTGACTCAGGGAACTGCTAGGCCGAGATGATGCTGGACATAGCGGAAGGTTATGGTTAAATTTTCTGACTAGAAAAAACGCACACAGGATGTTTGAATCAAATCTATCTTTGGAAAATAAATTTAAGACTATGAGTGTTGAAAATTATATATATAGGCGTTACTAAGTTATCTTCAGCAATTTTTTTGTACTGTCTAATGTGAAATATTACAGCATTTAGTTAATAATAATGCACATGATTTTTGTAGTTTGTCGCGTTTAGAAAAAAATCGGGGCGTTGTTTAAAAATAGTATTATATAAGCAACTTTATTAATAGTCGCTTATCACCAGGGTCATGGCGTTCTCAAATTCTGTCGCCTGGAATTACAGAACGCGTATTGAAAGTGCACTGATTCAACTGCGTTGCTAGTTCAGTAAAGTTACTACTTCAGGTAGGTATACTTAATTCGATAAGTGACGGTAATAATAGTGCTATGTAAGACCTTGACGTTGACTTATTTATCGATGGGATAGAAAAACACTAAGATTTTTAATCAACATGTTTTATTTATTTTTTTCATAGCTCATCAACGGAGGTTATGTTTGTTTGATAACAATTGAAGAATTCATGATCATCTCTTTTTAGTTCTTCATGCAGTTTATTTCAGTGGATAAATAACCCAACGGTTTCAATAGCGTTTTTGATTTATATGTTAGTAGATGAAATATAGAAAACATGAATTATCTATTTATGAAAACTGACTTGTTTCCGTAGGAAGATGTCAGTCATGTTATCTACTGAAAACGCTTGAACAAAAGTGTTTTTTTCATAACATATAAAAATTCGCGATCTTTTTCGTAAAACGACAAAAGTCGCATGCATAGAAGCAGTCTTATAGTACAGAATGTGACCAAAGTCGCGTTTCTTTGAGACTAAACAGTCAGTTCTTTAAAAAAAAAAGTTAAAGTTTATTTTTAGGTTCATCATAAAATTGCTCAAGTTTATGTAATTAGCCACAGTATTAACGATGTTTCATTGAAGAAGTCGCGGAGTTGGAAAGTTATTTCTTTTTGATATTTGCTTCCACTTCACCAGATGACAACGAAATCATACCACAAGGCGCCATTCAGTTATTTGTGAGACGAGAAATTCAAGTGAAAAGTAGAACTAGAACCTCTGGTGTAAAATAAATCCAAAACAAGTACTTTTCCCAATCACCAAAAATACAATACTCTTCTCAACGAATGCTTCACCAGCCAAGTCTTCACCATCTCCTGAAAACGTCATCTAATGACTGGTGAAACATGACTGGTGAAACACACATCAAGAATAGTGTTGCAGTACTGGTGTTTGGGAGCCGTGGAAATTCAAAACTGAGAAATTTGTTATTGCAACCGATATTTATAATGATGAAACATTTGAAAATCCCTTCTGGTTTAATCGAAAACGGAACCAAGTCAAGAATTTTGAATAGAATCCGCTTTATTATTCCAAACTTAAACTATATTCAAAATTGTAGTGCAAGAGCCATTTTCTCCAAATCAATATGATGATGGCATCAAAATGCCATCTATGCAAATATTGTCAAACAAGTTGTAATGAAAAATAAAAGACGAAGTTTGTTTTAGTTTTGACGAAAAATTCAAGACATGAAATTTTTCACCAGTTCAAGTATATTTCATATTTCTTGAAATGCAATTTTCAACTTATTTTATCTTAAAAAATCTTGATAGAAAGTGGTACTTTTCAAACTTTCAGTCTAAATTGTACGTATGTCTTGTATTACAAAGAGATGTCGAATGCGTTTCATGTTTCTGCATTAGTGAAAAAGTGAAAGTTTCAAAGCTGTTCCATGTGCTTCGAGTTTAACTATATATAAATGTACGTGTGAAATTTCAATTATAGAATTTTCCCTCGAAAACCAAGCAAACTTCGACTTTTGTTTCTCATTACAATTTGTTTAACAATAATTCCATAGATGTCGTTATAGTACCGCCATACATAATTTGGAGAAAATGTTTTCTATGCGGTCATTTGAATAGAAATGGTCATTTATGTTATATCTTTGAAAAAGAATTTTATATCTTATCAAGGCTCTGAAAAATACAGATGGTTCTATTTACATTTCTTGACTTGGGTTCTTTCTCAGTGAAACCGAAACAGGTTTTCAATTGTTTTATCATTAAAAATATCGACTCCAATGAACTACAATACCTTCGTTCCGAATTCTAAATTTCTATTCCCACAAACAATTGGATTGCTCTGTGTACAATGATTTCATTGTCCCCCGCTATGATGTGATTCAAATATTAAGGGAATTATGGAAAGTTAAAAAAAAAACGAATGCTGAACCGCAGTTTTTTTTAAGTTACACAGTAATTGTATAACTTTTCAAAGAAACTATATATATTGTGTTGCATTGTGGGTAGATTAAATGATTTATATATCCTCCTTTAACACGTGTATCCCTCAATAAAGAAATAGACGTATCCCACCTTTTTTGTGTACACCCAAAACATCGTACGTCAGAAGCACACATTAGTTGGGTACCTTGTGCGACAAAAAACATTACAATAGAAAATTCGAACATCCTGTGTATTTTCACTACAAGGTGCCTCACCAAGAATACGTATTTTAGCTACCATCTAACTCTCGCTAAATATTTTTACTTAAAAACACTTAAACGCAAATGGAAATCATACTAAAATAATCTGATAATAGGTACTAATCACGTCGTAAGAGAAAATATTCACTTCAAATTCAATACTAGTTTCATGGAAGGCACCTTTCATTGATGAAAAATAATGAAATATATAATAAAAAAAAAATTATTAATGCAAAGAAAGCATGCAAAAATTTTGTGAAAGTGTTTAATGAAGCATTATATTAGAAACGAAAATAATAAGCAAAAATATGTATGGAACATACAGAGCGTATCATATTAATTTCAGGTGGTGATTACTTGTCATATTTTATGAAAAGACTTTCATATGAACGTGTGTCCTAACTTGCTTCGATTCCGAGTAACGGGTTGTCACAGTTTTACTATAAATATTGTTCTTTTGATAACTGAAAAGTCTTTCCGCCGATTTTGCGATTTCTAAGGCTATTGACCGTGTGTGGCATGAGGGTTTGCTGGCCAAACTTCGATGCTAAGGCTTGCCATATCGTTTTTGTGTATGGCTCTCCAGTTTCCTGAAAGAACGTTCCCTGCAAGTGGCCATTGACGGATACCTATCGAATACTTTCACCATCGACGCTGGTGTTCCCCAGGAATCCATGTCTCCAACCCTCTTTTTATTGTATATCAACGACTCATTGGAAAAAAATAGGAATTCAATATACTGCTTTACTGACGACAGCACACTTGTCTCGTCATTCCATTTGGATTCCAGGACATCGGCTGCGGATGCACATCTTCACCGGCAGCAGGAAGTTGCATATCTTAATGAGGATCTAAAAGTGATTTTGAATTGGGGTGAAAGTAACCAGGTTCAGTACAATGCCACAAAAACTCAGACATCGGTTTTCTCCAAGAAGACTAATGTCTCCGAACCGGATATAATAATGTCGTGTCAGACAATTCCGCTTTCTGCTTCGATAAGTTTGTTGGAAGTTAAAATGGACACCATATGTGTCGGCACAATCATGTCGCTGGAATTGCAAAGGCGGCTTCTCAAAAGCTTGGAGCAGTGTTCCGAACCAGAAAACTGTACACACCTTAGCAACTTTTGATGCTATATAAAGCTCAGATCATACCTTCTTTGGAGTATTGTTCTCATGTTTGGAACTCTGCCCCCAAACATACCCTGAAGTTGCTGGATTCCATCCAGAAAAGAGCCGTCCGTCTGATTGGAGACGCGAACATCACGTGCAACCTTGATAGTCTCGAACATCGAAGAAAGGTTGCCTCCCTTCTATAGATACTCACGGGAGGTGTTCAAGTGACTTGACACATTTGATTCCACCAAGAGCGGTACTTATCAGAAATATGCGACGAAATGTGGCTGCTCATCGTTTTGAGGCTCAACTCAGTACACCTCGAATGTCACTGTTTAAGGACTCTTTCATCTGGAGAACTGCGTTTATGTAGAATGAACTTACTGAGAACGTTTCTCCAAATGAATTTATAATCTCCATCGATTCAAATTCAGCATAAATCGCTACTTTCGCACAGGAACCGCTCTGTGAGCGCCTTAAGGATTTTCCTGTAGTGCTTGTGTTTTGTCCTTAAAAAATAAAAAAATTAAACTAAGCGTATTTGTTACCAGTGACAAGCGGCTTCTTTTCACAGAGGCTTACCTGATTGATTTATGGTAAAACTCCTTGTAAGCCACTGTTTTCGCTAAGTTTGATATTATTTTAAATAGCTAAACTTTATGGTGGCACAGAAATTGGGATTACGTTCAAAAATGTTTTTTGATATTCGTCGTCATTTGAACAAACTCAAAATGAAAATCTGTTTGTAACTCTCTGCGACGCCACTGGAATTATTATCCGTAATCTAATTTCATGAAAAGAAGCCCTTTGTTACTGCTAACCACCTAGTTTCATTACAATCGGCGAAAAGACTTTTGAGTTAGTAATAAAAGAACAACATTTTCAATAAAACTGTTACACCCTGTTACTCGGAAACGAAGAAAGTTAGCACACGTTTATGTGAACTTCTATTCATAAAATATGACAAGTAATCATCACCTGAAATTAATGACATCATTTAGGATACACCCTGTACTTTTTTCTTCACAATCGATAACTAAATATTGAATTAAAGACAAAAGTGGGTATAGTAAACGATTCTGTTTCTAAATACATAATATTATTGAAAAAAGGCATTAACAGAGTGTAACTGAAAATTCAGGTCTCGTGCTAACAGAATTTGGAAAACATGGCCAATAAAAGAAATGTTAACTTTTACTGGTTTTCTGATAGTTTCAATTTTATCCATCATATACTTGCACGATGTTACAAACAGAATCGGTAAATTAGTATTAGTGTCATTATATCATTTTGTTAATAACAAACACAAAAATCAACTTGCACGTGTTTCTATACAAAAGAAAGTTGGGAACGCAATGAGCCACCACCAATTTGTATTAGGATGAGGGATATTTCATTCCTTTCCTTTGGATTTCAAAATAAAAACTGTACTAGTAACAATCCGGTTTAGACATTCATTTTTACAGTGAAAATAGTAGATTCATTGCCTAACGTGAATATAATTTTGAGGTGAATTACCGCCGATATTACATAAAAAAAATTCGATGTGGTTCAAAAACTTCCATTACACGGTATTTCTAAAATAAGTGCCAATGTTTTTCGACAATTCACAGACTTCTGATTCTATAAATATTTTAGATAGAGAAACAGGCTTGCTAGAGATATATTCACGTTACCGTGGTTACAGGCACAACCGATAAAATATTTTGAAATCCTTGTTGCTATAGACTATAGAAGAATACACAATAGAGAAAAATTACTAGAAATAACGATACCTTTTATCATAAATTTACCGCCACCCGACATTTCAATAGCTTTGAATTAGGGATGCTAGATACTGGAACCTGCTGGTTCTCGTCACCACGTCATCAAGACTATTGAGTGAAATGACAATCTTTTATAACTGTTGGTTACACAATTTTCTACACGTTTCAAAAATTAATGCATTTATCACAATATCGACAGATTAACTATCAGAATTAGAACTCTGAATAACCGACTTTACTAGTTTATTGAGAATATAAAAAGAGCTTAAAGATATGTTTTTTCATCAGTCAGGTGGTTCAGTCCAACATAGCGAAAAAAAATTTGAACCGTATTGGTTTTAAATTAATGAATATATTGTTGTATACAGTAGGAATTTCATTATAAGTAACATGTGTTCAGTTGACAGTTTTTTCACCATCACTATATTTTTTCATAGATTTTAATCTATGATTTCAAATTTCTGTTCTTTAAAGGGGATTCAACTGAATGAGATATAAAAACATTTTCATTGTAATTTCACACACATCAGAGTAGGCACTATGAACTAAGGCTGAAACAGTTTTCAAATTGAAGAAAGTATCTGTTTGGAATACCCAGAGAGCTGGAAGACGTATTTGCAGCATAACCATTTCTACTCAGCTGAGAATCCTAAAGCCGCGTATCTATATGAACCAATGACCCATAAAGTAACATCATACATGTTTTCGGCTCATGGCCAGTTGTTTATTTTCTCTCATTATTTTTTTAAATAACTCTTTCGAGTGTTTTGGTACTGGTATTTTTAATATTCCATTCGCTTTTTTCCTCTCACCAATTTCAAATCAAGACAATGAAAGTTCGAACCTTTAAGTCACCAAGAAACATATTTCTCAAATAATGTTTGTGGAGATCAAATCATAAGGTGTGTAGTTTATGAAATTACTATGGATCTTCATCAAGTAACGGCCGAATCAATCAGAAAATTGGAACAAACGTTTGTTACATTCTTCTAGGCATAGTTTGGATTTAAGAACATCGACTTTCACGGTCGAAGTCATGATTAGAGAAAACAGAATCCGGGCTAGTAGGTCGTGGTCGAATGGAACTCGTAGTACCGAACGTTTCGCCTGCTACTGTGGCAGACATCGCCAGCGGTATGTTCATTAAATGCGAGTACTGAGGTTAATCTCGAAGTCTCAGTAACAACTGACTTGACTGTTATACTTTATTTGGTTCAGTTCTCTGAATAGACAGTGTTTGTTGAGTAGCACTGTCAATACTCTTAGCAGATTCCTGCCCAATTGAAGCAGTTCTTCAGTTTCTTTCTCGGACATCCCTTCATAAAAGATTTCCTGTGTGTGTGATCTGGTCTCATATTATAGATTTTGATACCTCACACAGCTTGACCAAGGCCCATATATGCAGCTGATGATTCGTGAAAATGAAATTATTTTGTTAGCAATGGATCTTCGTGACTTCATGAATTTGAAAATTTTGTGCTTTACTGAATCGCATCAAATTTTAATCTATGAAAACTCTCTACATGCGTGATAATTTTTTGACTAGTGGTTATTGTCGTTTTTCAATGAAGTGTGGTGGAGTTGCTATATGGGCCAAAAATTCTATAAATACCACTAAACTATCTAGTCAAGAAATTGTAACCAGTGATACTGTGAAATTCCTAGGTATAGGAACACATTGGGAATCATTAATAGTTAATAAGTTCAAAACACATTGCGAATCATTAATATCTAACCTTAATTCATTCTATTACTTGATCTATAATTTGACGACTATTCTAACTCATGAACAATTAATGAACTTCTACCATGCACAGGTGGAATCTCGTCAGAGATCTGCTTTCAACTAGCTGCCTTGCAATGAAACCTACAGAGAAATACAGAGGAAGATTCTAATTCTGTGATCGATGTCACGTCTTTGTAAAAAGAGATGTCATCGTCATGTCCAGGTGTGACCTTTGAGGACAGATGAGTCCAACAATCAATTCATGATTCAGCTAGCATCTCTGATGAGACCTATGGCAGGTTGAAATGGTTCTGGTATTGAATCACAAATGCTTTGTTTTTTGGCTCTGGTTTCAACTAGTTGCCAGCTACAAAAACAGCTTGAAACTTGAAAGCTACAAAAAAAAACAAGACGAATCTTGTTCGGTGATCGATGTCGAAGCTTTACCATGCAATGGACTGCCTTTCAAAGATTTGTTCATCTCTTAATATTAAAATCTTTTGTTGATTTCATATATGATGTCTTTGTAAGGAAATATGTGATCATATTTTCTTTCCCAGACTTGACCTTCAGGGACAGTTGCATCCAACAATGCAATTCATGGTTTAGCCTAGCACCTCTGATAAGACCTATTGAGACAAAACTCTGCAGTCGATGTCTAAACTTGGCTTTGCAACGGGCTGCCTCGTTCATCAATGATTATGGTGATCCAAGTCATCTGTTATCACCTTTTCCTACCATTATACTGAAAAATTTTTTTAACAGAGCTTTTTCCAATTCATGGATTGGAACTGGGGGTCCAATTGTGTGACCAACTGGATCTCCGCGTTTGAATCTACTGGATAGAGTTTTTAGAACTACTCCTCTATTTTACCGACCATTTATCTCTCATATTCCAAAAGTATTCATACATTCGTGAAGGGAAACTAATGACATTGTATAACTTTTCAATTCACACAGGCAAAAAGGTGGAACCGGATGCCTCTTGTAGAAGAGTTTAATTTTATTAAATTCATAAGTAAGAGAGAAAGTGCTTAAAAATTCGAAGAATTCTACAATAGTTAACATCTGCCAAAGTTGAATAAGTATTCATAATATATAACTATATATCGAACCATACAAGAAATCAATATATCCAGAAATTTTGTGATCAGAAAACTCTTTTCATTATGTTCACCAAGGATGCATCTCCAAGTAATAAAACTCATGTCAAGATATGAGCCCCTTCTCAGACACCTGTCAAAATTAGATATTCAATTGTTTCCATTTTGAGAAACATTTCATAGAGAGCAGGGGTCACAAATAAAAGTATTGGTTTTGTGAGTTTATTCTAAAAGTACGAATTTTATGTTCGACCAATATGCCAAAGCCCTTTTCAAGTGATAATGAAGAAATCATATTTCTTTATTTCAAATTATGCCCACTGAAAAATATAAACTTCAATAAATATGATCCATTTTCCTTTCTTTTAATCAAGGTAAAATAATATTGTAGCCAATTAAAAAAGGGACATTTTAGTGTGTATTCTACCTACTCGCATTTAACAGTCTATCTGTTCATTGTCATTACATATTCACCCCAATTAAATAAAATAACCATCAAAGTGCAGATCGATCTCCGATATATAAGAGCGGTCAAACCTATGAAAACACACAGTGGTCCATACTGCACTCATAAGAGTAAGAACAATTTTACAAGAGCATACACCATACCTTTTCGCTTTGGCGAGTCTAGGCTCTGACGTTTTATTGCTTAGAATTGTATCCTTGACGATTATACTGTGGAACTGATTCATTTACTCTAGCAAAGTGCTTCCGTTACTAGCCGTCCGAAAAAACAAGCGATTGCCATTTCACTCAAAAGCAGTACTTCGTTAAAGGTAGTAAGAGAATGGAACTGCCTACGAACATACCCTCGCTGCAGTTCGCAGACGCGTGCAGTTTCTGTTCCCTCAATTGCGAAGTGCGTGTGGTGCGGGGCACGACGAATGCCCCTTCGCCAGCTAGCTGATGCAAGCTGCGGCTGTCGGCCTTACTCAGATTCCTTCTAGCCGGCTGCGCCTGTCCCGATTTACTTACGGCTAAGTGGCTCATGCTGCGCGTGATCGAGGACACACGGGAGGAGGAGGATAGGGGTCGGGGATCGAAGGGGTTCGCTTCTGCGAGAGAAGGCAAATCAGGTCTCCTGCGTGGTTTGGCAAGCTGGTCTAAACGAGTCATTGAGTATGCCCTACCTGGTGAGTGGTTCAGTGATTTTCGAGACGAATGGAAAGATGGATCTCTAGTTGGAATGGTGGGGAGCAGGTCCGTGCGTCTGCGACCGGTGTACCCGCTTGCGCACCCAGCTGGAACCACTGGGACAGTTCCTAAAAACAAAAAGAAACTTTTTTATAAATTTATCAGATCAAGATCAGATTACAATGTTTTCATAATTTAGGTTAGTCAAGAGTGTGATTGAATTTTAGAGTATATCCAGATATATCCACGGTTTCACCCGCATATAATTTAAAAGAAATAACTGATAGCAGTCTTAGCAAAAAGAGGTTTCTCTCGGCAATATTTCGGTTCTCGTTGACTTTCATAAAATTGCCTTAAAGACGGAGTAACTTCCGCGAGTAACAATTAGAATAATTTCATAAACTAGACCTTACGATTTGATATCCACAAACTCTATTTTAAAAAAATATCATGACATGTTTCGCTAATACAGTAGCTTTTTCGTAGTCAATAAGGTAATAAAAGTTCATTCTTACTCTTATATTCATATACCCGACGTAATCACAATTGAGACTACCTAATTAGATAATCACCATCTACATCTTCTATTATGATTACCTAAAGCATATTTTTTTAACATTATCCCCATTTCTGTGCCACTGACTCTGATTCGATACATTTTAGCTATTTAAAATAATATCAAACTTAGCGAAAACAGTGGCTTACAAGGATTTTTACCATAAATCAATCAGGTAAGCCTCTGTGAAAAGAAGCCGCTTGTCACTGGTAACAAATACGCTTAGTTTAATTTTTTTATTTTTTAAGGACAAAACACAAGCACTACAGGAAAATCCTTAAGGCGCTCACAGAGCGGTTCCTGTGCGAAAGTAGCGATTTATGCTGAATTTGAATCGATGGAGATTATAAATTCATTTGGAGNAGTAGCCTTACCGTTTTTCACTCTATCTATCTGCTTCCTATATAGAGATATGGAACACCGCGCCACTGTTGCAGGACCCTGTATATACAAAACATAATTCCAGTTTGAATTAAACCACTCCGCTTGAAACCACAAAAATATCTTGAACAATAATGTACAACATATCGGCCATTCAACTATGCACAACTGCAACAAAATTTAGGAGAAAATACGCTTACACGTATACAAAAAAAAAATTATTTTACAATATCCAATCGACATTTAAAATTTACGTTGTTCATTAAAATCGTTCCTACAGATGCGGAAAGTTGAATATACAGAGTACTTTTTCAATAAAATTAAATTATTTTCAGCATCCTGAATGGAAATTCTAATCTTATATGGTCATATGAGTGGATTATAATAATTATGAACAGAGCTATAAATAATCTTGAACTCCTACATACTTCGCACCTACCATAAATAGTTTCTGACTATTTTTCAATCTGGAACGACGTATTCCATCAATTACGTCCATTTTTTAACCTAAGAATTTTTTTTTCATTTAGATAATGGGCACCCCCCGGGGGGAGCCCTTCCAAAAATTCAGACATTCCTCAGTAATGCCCTATTCTATATTCCACAGACAGACAAAAATACTGATTTGTTGTTCCCATTCTTAGCCACCTACGCTGATTTACTTAATGTGTGGCGTAGATCTGTATTGAGTGGCGGCATCTATCTTTCAGAAAGACTATAAATATATTTTCAAGGGTTATATGCCGAATGCACCAACATTATTTTCGTTAAAATGTGTGCGAATTCATAATTTTTGAAATTTTGCAGAGCAAATACTTAGAGTGTAATTTGATAAATTATCATACACGAGAATTTTCAAAATTATGGGATATATGTTGAGAATATTTACAGAAAAAAGGAAACGATAGTATGAACTCAGTTTGAAATTCCGAAATTTGAAGATTCAAGTGAAATAGGAGCATCTATATAAATGTTTTCATTTTTCTTGGTTGAAACGTTTATTGTTCAATGCCATAGGCTATTTCAATATACGAAGGTTTCTGGGTACACGAAAATTTGTCTTTTGTGATATTTGTTGTCAGCTACGAAATTAACGAATGACAATCAAATTCCACTTTTACACAATTTCAAATAGATACAGAAATTTCCAATGCAATTGATATTATATCGAATTGAAAAATTGTGAGTGGAAAATATAACTGAAAATATTTCCACATGGAACGATATTACTTGTCATGTTCTGTAACCTCTATATGGTCTACATTTTTTTTTTCAAAAACCCTCAACCACTACAACCCTATATACAGTGCATTCCATTTAAAACAAGCCACTCTGAATAACTTCAGGCACAATGATTCGCAGAAAAAATGAAGAAACACGTCAAGCATAGTATACAGGGGTACACATTTTGACATTTGATATTACTTCCCCTATCGTACCTCCAGAGCATGTCACCAATTTTTATACACAGGAGGACTCATTTTGACATATTCGCATGTCGCATGTCACCAATTTTTTTTAAATGGATCACCCTTTATTGTTTTGAATTATCAGATACACCATGATGAGCAGATTTCAAGATAGTATAAACCATATGGTCTGAAGCTTATGGTTCAGGAGTTACACATTATTTGAGTTGAAAACGAGCCACCCTGAATAACTTTTGGAACAATGATTGTCAGGAAAAATAAAAAACCACCTCAAAAATAGTATACAATGGAACACATTGTGACATATTCACATATTTAATCTAACTTTCTCTATCACACCCCCAGAGCGTGTCACCGGTTTTTAAAATTGGTCAATTGTTTTACATTATCAGATCTTCAGTGATGAACAGATTCCAACAAAGTTATGGTCTGGACATTATGGTCTGGACATTATGGTCAGAAGCTCAGAGTTGTGAAGCTAAAAATTATTTGAGTTGCAAACGAGCCACCCTGAATGGACTTCTATACAATCTAGGTTTCATAGGTGTTTTTTGATGTATACTAAAAAAGTCTTTTTGTGAATTCTTGAAAAGCAATGGTTTATATGCTTCGAGAACGGATTGAAATAGTGAGTGTGTACTTCCAGAATAGAAATAGTGCTAGATCTGCTTGTGCTTGAACATACGGGGTTCAATGATAATCATCCAGGAAGAAAGTGCGACACAAATACGTTTCTGAATTATTGAACAAATTTATGGAAACTGGATCTGTTAACAATAAAAAGCATAACTGTCCAGGAGTTGTCAACAATTACGAGAATCAGGAATAAGTCGTACGAGTACAAATTTCATCCATATAAGATTAGACTAGTTCATGTATTGAACGAAGATGATTTCGATAGACGTATCGAGTTTTTTGAAAGTCTCACGGAACAGATCAACTTGCATCAGAATTTCTTGTATAAAATTTGTTTTTCGGATGAATGTACTTTCAGTTTGAATGGAGAGGTGAATCGACAAAATTGACGATATTGCAATGATACGAATCCTCATTTATACCTTCAAGTTTATTCCCAACGACCTCAAAAACTGAATGTTTGGGCAGGAGTTTGGTGATCACATCATAGGATCTTTTTTATCGATGATAAATTGAATAGTGATTAATATTTGGATATGTAAAAGAATCGAATGATACGATATAAATTTATTCAAAAACGAAATAATTTTTCAGCAAGATGATGCACCTCCTCATTATGCAGCTCCAGTGCGACAATATTTAGATGATAATTTTCCTGTCGCTGGAGACCTGGAGACCTACCGGTCTCCGGATCTCATTCCTGTAGATTTCTCTCTGTGGGGTTATTTGAAGTCTAAAGTGTGTGAAATAGAATTGATGAAATTGAAAGATTTAAGAGAGAATATCATGAGACATTGCAGAGAATTAACTCCCGAAATTCTCAACCATGTGAGTGTGGCAATGGAAGCTCGTTTATACCATTGTATGGAATATATTTGGATTATATTGGAACAACATCTAGAATTCTTAAAGATAGAATAACTTCACATAAAAGTGATATAAAGCTCAATAAGAAATCATGTGCATTAGCGCAACATTCTATAGAGATAGGACATAAACCAAATTACTCTAATATCACAGTTTTACATACAGAAAAAAATATTCCCAAACGCCTTTTTCTTGAAATGGTTGAAATTAATAAGTCTTCTAATTGTATGAATAAGAGGACTGACATTGATAATCTCAGCAGTATACATATACAGTAACTTCCACTAGAAGCGAAAGCTTGGCAAAGTAAAGCAGAGTTTTTGATTTTTTGACNGATTGGTCAAACCACCAACACTGACATAAAAACTTGGCAAGTTGACTTGGGTGTCACACCAATAGGTGGTTCCACTTATGTTTCGCTTGCGTTTACGCAGCTATTTTTATCAAGTACTTTCTTGGTTTTTTCTCATTTTGTCTTCAATCGAGGACCGCCTGCCCGGTACTGACGATGAAACCATCATTGAAATAACATTTCAATGATGTTATTTGAAATGTTATTTCAATGATGGTTTCGTGGATGAGAACGTTGAGTATGTATTGCAGAAACATGACTTCGCTATTTACTTTCTCATTCGTATTTGAATTACGTAAATTTGTCTATCAAAGTTGGAATATATATTATACCGGTACGTAACATACTCAGATACCAATATCTTAATGGAGTTTATTCAGTAACTTAGAGTCGGTACATACCGAAAGTTAATATATATTGTTCAATAGAAGTTTCGTACTTTTACTCACCGGAAGCGTATTATTATTAGAGAATATTATGCCTTGAATATAAAGTTTTCACATTAGAATATTGAACGGGCACTGCAACAAAACGCAATCTAAAACTTGGAAACATCGATGTTTGCTTCTGTGAGTTCATGAATGTTGTACGAATGTAATTTGAATTTTCCTCATTCCTGGGATGAAGCGAATTCACTAGATCTCTGTCTGATTTGATTATTAATAGGTATTCATCGCAATCTGGTTGGGACAATATTTCGGATATTGTAAGGGTAGATTTGAAGCATTATCGATTCACATTATACAGATTTACGAAGAATATTGTCTAAGTTTCGATATTCCTAGCGTAAATTTTCATAATATTTAAAAAACACTGACATACCTACTTGGAGTTTTAAACGATTATAACCTTTTTAAGGGAAAGAAGGTTTTGGCTTCCTACTTCTCTGTCTTCATCCAAACATCGTGAAAATCTTACAAAGAAACGGAAAAAGCGATTAATTTTGAAATGGACTCTTTAACAAACTGGAAGAAACAGCCCTTTCGAAAAATCTACCTACTTTCATATGAATATTGAAATACACGGAATAAGAAATACTTTCGGAACAACTTCTTTCATATGAACATTGAATAACATATACAAAAAATAAGTATTCCTATTCAGTTCATACTCCAAACATTCTTTATTGTATTTCATTTACAGGATTGCACAATAAAGTATTAGAAAAGAGTTCAAATTTCACATGGAACATTTTAATCCTCATGGAGAACATTCGGCGTTTCGAAATAAGACAATAACCTTATTCAAATTATCTAAAAAAACAATTCGTTCAAGCCAGTCTCAAATTGCCTACACTGAAGGTTAATGAACGGACACATATCAGAAAACAACTATTCCCCTGGCTAATACCAAGAAGGGCGTTGGATTGAATCCGACAGGTGTCAATGCAGGATTCTTCACTGATGATATTCCTGCCTATGCTGTTGGCGATACAATTGCCGCAATCAATTTTCAATTATTGGAACACACTTGCAGACCGGTTTCGGGCTCTTTGGCCACTTGTCAGTGCAAGGTGGTGTCTATCATCAACATAAAGTTGATGATTTCCGATAATTGAAAATCGAATTCCTTCAGAGTATCATTCCTAGAAGTAGGCTGAAGCGAACGACAACCAACAAATTTGGCATCACCCCATCTGCCTGTGAAAGAGGTAACCAACTGTAAAATTTGCTGGATTCCTCGTGTGAGGAAGAAAACTTCACAGATTGAGTGGGCATAATTGAAAACTGACTGTAAATCAAATTATCTATTAAAACAATTCGTTCTTACTTCAAAATCATAAAAAAAATCCTTGGATTTCTCTCAATATTTCATAGTATATCAGTAATGAATGATTTCCAACAAATAGTGATTACTTTTCGATTTTTATAAACCATGCACATGAATGACAATCGGAATGAATTTCAAAAGTGTCACTATCTGAAGCTTCAATACGCATTTTCTTCAGAGAGTCGCCCGATGGTTCATTCGATAAAGGACATTCGATAAAGTCATAAGTAAAATTTCATCATTAAAAATTCTCGAGAATTCGAAAAATTCTGAAATTTACGAAATTAAATGTGAGCACTGCGATGTAAAATATTATGGGCAGACAAAAATATCTATTGAAATAAGATATAAGGAACACTTAGCATACTTAAAATATGGAAAACCTGATAATAAATCAGCAGTCGCCCACCATATTCTGCAACAAAACCATTACATATACGTCAGTTAATTAAGATTAGTTAGACAAGCTGACAGCAACAGGCACCTAGATGCTTATGGGAGCGTAGAAATTAGTAAACATAATATGAATAAACGATGGTGGACCAATACCTAATAGTATACTATATAGCTTGTTGAAATAATATTTCAATTATTAGATTTACCTGACTATTACATGAGGATACATGGTAAAAATTTATTCCAGACTCTGAGATAAGGCAATATTGTAAAATTACTTTTATACAGCTTGTTCAAATATTATTTCACTCATAAGATTTACCTGACTATTACATAAGGTCACATTGTAAAATTAATTTTCGCCTATTAGATAAGGCAATATTTTGAAATTAATTTAAGACATTTGAGATGCAGCTACCTAGAAAAGGTACCTATGGTATAAATAAGGATAACTTCGTAAGTATCTTTATTTTGATCTTCCACTTGAAGATGATCAGTTAGTGATCGAAACACTTTTCGAAGTGTTAGAGTAACGGATTGGTGTTGGAAAANATTTTTGTAAGCAAATGTTGGACATGTTAGATAACAATATAATCCAATTAGGAGACATTATGTTTTCTGATGAGTGTACTTTGTTTCTTAACGGTCATGCTGATTGGCAAAATTGCCGCTACTGGTCAACGGAAAATCCTCACTGGATGAGAGCAGAACACACGCAATACCCCCAAAAAGTTAATGTTTGTGCAATGATTGTAGAAAACCATATTATTGGTCCCTTTTTCGTTGAGGGCAACTTGAATGGCGATAATTATTTCAGCAGGATGAAGCACCACCACGTTACCAAGTTAATGTCCGGCAATACATCTCGATACATCTCAATACATCAATCCGAGAAACATGACGCCTTTTAAATGACCATCGAAAAAGTAAGGACCTACTACTTGCGTTCCAATTATTCCATCCCCATTCCATCACCAAACTTTTCTAAAACCCATAAACAAAAATTGAGTCGTCGATCATAATCTTCTTCAAAAAGCTGTTAATGTAGTTGAATGCGATACGAGTGAAATTTATAATTTTTAATTATTCTTTGGATACTCTGTCTGCTTACTTCAGTTGTTTCACATATTTTTCGTTGATTTGTGTGAGGGTGTTCAATTAGAGATAACATCACTGAATATTCATTTTCCTCATTTCCAGTAACGGTTTTTGCCGTTCTTGAATATTATAAGATACACTACCTGTTCTTCGGAAAAGCTGCAACAACTTTTCCAATGGACGCTTGTTAGTTTTCTTCACACTCACCGATTATCAAAATCATATCAATTCGTTCTTCTTGGGAATCAGTTCTCATTTTACAACATTTCGATATGACAATAATTTCAAACTAGTTAAAACCATCATAATGGTTTGATTAACAAGTTGTGTCACTGTCAAATATTTTTTGTTTCATAACAATATTTAACGAAATCTAGGCCAGAGCCTACTGTTATTGAAAAAGTGGTAGAATAGATTTAGAACTGGTATTTATTCCACTATGAAGTCTCATATATTTGCTAAGAAACAAGCGAATTCAACATATTTTGTCTCAATAATTAAGACACATGCTTCTTCTTATTTCAATATTTTTATTTCAATATTTCAGAAATGGCAATGAATTTTAGTTTTTACATTTGCCTGCATTTTACTTTAGATACACCTTATTTTGAAAAATTTAAACTTGTGCTTCTACCGAATCTACGTATTCTTCAATAAAAATGTGTTTAAAATGCTTTTTAGGCATTTCATTACAATACAGCGTGTTTCATTTCAAAGATAAAAAAATACTCATGAGTAAAATATAAAAACGCCTTTTCTGTAAAAACCAGACGGAATAGGTATACGGAACCCGAATATAGTTTTGAAGGAAATCTACTTCTGCGTCAAATTACGCCATCAAATATGGAGTGTTCCATTCAACTTCAAGAAGTTATTTAATTGAATATATGTCCAAATTTTGAGGCAATTTTTTTCGCCACTCGGAATAATATTCTATTAAAAATGTCTTTTCACAATTAACAGATCAGGCGTGACCGACCTAATCGCAAGCGTTATTCATTCTCTTAAGTTATTCAAATCTGAATGATGGAGGATCAGGTGACCGCGCTGCCATTCAATCGATCCTTGCCTCCATATCCACCAATTAGGAAATGTTGTATCGATGTATTGCCGGACATTAACTTGGTAACGTGGTGGTGCTTCATCCTGCTAAAATAATTATCGCCATTCAAGTTGCCCTCAACGAAAAAGGGACCAATAATATGGTTTTCTACAATCATTGCACAAACATTATCTTTTTGGGGGTATTGCGTGTGTTCTGCTCTCATCCAGTGAGGATTTTCCGTTGACCAGTAGCGGCAATTTTGCCAATCAGCATGACCGTTAAGAAACAAAGTACACTCATCAGAAAACATAATGTCTCCTAATTAGATTATATTGTTATCTAACATGTCCAACATTTGCTTACAAAAATAAGTTCTTTCATCAAAATCGTGTTCCATGAGATTCTTAGTAGGTATCATTTTATAGCGATGCATTTTATTTTCTTTTAAAATGTTTACTATCAATGTATGGCTAACACTGAATGTAGTAGATGCATGCCTACTCGATGTATGTGAGTTTTACTCAAACTCAAGGATCACATTTAATTTGAGTTCATCACTCATTGCATTGGCAGCTGCTTTTTTTATCTGCCCCACATGACCAAGCTCGCGAAACTGTTTCTCTATTTTGCTTAAAAGTTCCTTGAGATATGGGCGGTAAATTAGGAAATTTCGTATGAAATAGGCGAGTTACTTCCTGTTGTGTTTGGGTTTTATCTCCATAACCAATTTTCTATAAAACTGTTATTTTATGCATTTCTGTTAATCTAACCATTTGCCAGACTTGAAGTTAACGAACTTCAAAACTAAATTAAAATACTGACAACTAATGTTGTAACACAAAAAACAAAACGTTGACAAAACGTTTTAAAGTAACGTTGCCACGAAAATTATTTAGAGTTTTTTGAAGGATACCATCTAAAAAGAACATTGCTATGGTTTTTGCATACTTTGTTATTATCAATACATCAACATGAAATAAGTTTAAAGTATATTGTAATAAGTTTTGAGCATATTTTTTCGAATTTCGGTCAACACATGGTTTTCATTTATGCAATGAACTTGAAAGCGATAACATTTTTCAATAGAGAATGAAGATACCTTCCAAACGATATATCACAAGCCAAAACATTGAGGGTTGTACCTGTTATACGACGGGGGTTCAAAGTAGGGTTAGCATTTTTCCGTTGAAGTATGTCAAATTATAAGTTGAATTTGACGTGTTTCGGGATTTTGTTGAAATATGTACCGTAACCGAAATAAAAACAGCAAGCATAGAGCTAGTAACGAGATTTGGGGACAAGGGAGATTACGACCTCGTCCTCGAGTCATGTCAGTACAAATCTAAGTGATTCGTGAAAATGGCTCCAAAGCAGGAGCCGAAACGTCGAAAAGATGAAAATTACAGACACGGACAACAGTATGTCAAATTACTGACCGCGGCAACCTATCCGAACATTATATATATACATATATATGTTATCATCGTAAGAAAGGTTCACTGTAAGTACGCCAATGTATTGTATGTATGTATGTACACATCATATCATTACGAGATTCAATTGATGAATGAGTTGATGAAGTCGAGATCAGTGCTGTATAAAAAACATGAACAAGAGAAGCCTACGTTCACATAGGCCCAAATATTTCTGTTCAGAAAATGAATATATCAACAGAAATTAACAAATAAAAATACAAAAAAGTCATAAATTATATTCAGGAGGAACCATAGATATATACTATATATACTTATTATAATTTCTGTGGGAGAAACATAATAAGCGATATCTTTTTTTNTAGACATCGATGTTTCGCCGTAAGACACTTGCCTTAAGGCTCTTCAGTACCAAATTGGATAACATTATAGAAAATACACACAATTCATTGTTGAATGAATTGATTACTTCCTTCCTTTTTTTGGAAAATTCCCACATTTTTTGTATCAAGATGGAGTAGTAGAGAGCCAAAATTTTTCTTTCCCAAAAATTAATCACTACTAAAAATATAACCCCTTCAATTCAAATAAGATTATTCTTGGCTAGGATTCAATTAAATAAGTGAATGAATGTCATTACGATGTCATCGATACATAAGTAGATCAAACTTATTCCGTGACTCACAAATCGTAATTTATGAATGAATTGTGTATTTTTTCTCATAGTGTTATCCAGATTGGTACTGAAGAGCCCTAAGGCCATGTAAGTGAAATTTTTGCCTTTTTTTCAGTATATTGTGTAGAAATCCTGTGAATATTATCTGATTTGATTCCATAACGGAAGTTTGGACATATATGTGATTTACATCATGTATAGAGTTACTTCTTTCGAAGTAACTCTATACTTCCTTTCTTTCTATGGAATATTCCAACATTTTTTTGTATCAAGATGGAATAGTAGGAAGCCAACAAATTTCTTTCCTACCAACATGATATTATTATTGATAGGCGTTCTTTCACTATTTGCGTTTTTCAAAATTTTTAGAACTAAGTACATACTAAGTATCTTCAATAATTCAAAACATTTCACATGTGGATGCCATCTGTCAAAATATTCTTCAGCTGAACCCAAAGCAAACCTTCATAATTAATCCATTGTTTGATGTTGCCAATGTCACAGAGCGTGTTGCATCGGAGAAAGTCCTGACATCAATTTTTTATTTTTCTGATTGATTCGGCCGTTACTCGATGAAGATCCATAGCAATTTCATAAAATAAACCCTTACGATTTCCAGATTTCCATGCAATATTCACTGTGTGAATATTGCATATGAATATATTGCATGTGAATATTGAATATGAATAATATCCAAACCCAGCCATCTGCGACTCAAAATTGCAAATGGACTCGATACCATAGCCCAGGAAGAAAATAAGTCGTCACTTAAATGTGGAACTTTCATAATTTCATTGAAAAGTATTTTCATTATTTCAGTTATTCATCAACCAAATCAAATCAAATCACTTTATTATTCCTGTAGAACTTACAAAGTTATAGGACCGATCAAATAGCATTATGTGCATACATAATGCACTTTAATGAAGTGAATGAAAACATCTTTGTCTAATTACCACTAGTTGATTTTATTTATACGATCAGTTTGACCCCACTACCAAGTATAAAACTTGATAATGGGGTCAAACTCAAACCAGTGGTAATTAGACACCTTTGTCCGGTTTGACCCCATTTTCAAGTATAAAACTTGATAATGGGGTCAAACCCGAAACCGGCTGTATAAATGANTAATGACTATTTTCAGATCTATGATTCACCGAAACAATGTAGCGATGTAGGTATGCATATTCAAATATTTTTGAGAAACTAGATGGAACAGTAAAGGCCTATAGTTATCTAAAAGATAGCGATCCGATTTTTTGTGGATAGGTACTACTTTGCCGATATTCAATTTTTCGGAAAACACTCCTGTACTAAAGGACAGATTGACTGAGTAAGTCAAATGATACATAATGTACTGCAAACTTGTTCTGATCAAGAACATTGGGATTCCATCGCGTCCAGAAGAACTTTTATTCTTGAGTTTATTGGTTAGGAGAGATAACAGTTCATTATCTGTAAAAGGCTCAAGAAATATAGAGTTATAAACATTAGTAAGATGATTGATGTGATTATTGGATGGGTTATTATTTTTAATCTTCCCAATTATCTTCATAGGGGTGTTAAAAAAATTATTGAAAAGGCAGGATATTTTTCGAAGATCATTCACAACCTTACTTTCATGTATTAAATATTTTTCATAGTTGTAGAAGAGTGTGTTATACTATTCATCACCCGCCAAGCCATTTTTGTGGGATTATCTGAAGCCACTATTTTATTCTGATAATACAACCGTTTTGTATCAGATATGAGTTTGGAATGTTTGTTTTTTGCCATTAAATATTTTCGTATAAATTCTGGACAAGTGTTTTTTAGAGTAATGAGATTTTTCAAATTTTTGCTAGATGCTCTCACTACAAGTTTCCTGGAAAATTTTCTAAAAAGTTGGCTGTAGTTTAATGCCAGATGTTGAAAACAATCCCTAATCTTCGAGTGCCCTGTATTTTTCTTATCGACACAATTATTTAGTTATTATTAATTCTGTACACTTCACTTAAATTGTTTATATCAATTTTCAGATCTTTGGGCTCAAATCTGCACTCTGTGAGCGATATATGCTTTTCATATATCAATCAAAAAAAATGCGGGGACTACAAACATGGTGAAGTATTTAAATTAGAAGGTCATCCTCTTGGAGGTATAAACATTCATATTTTGAAGAGAAATCCCCACGAAAAAGTATCAGAAGGTAATGTAATATATTTTTACAGTGCTATAATGTGAATTGGGCAGTGTGTGAATATTTTTACAATTCAAAACAGAAAATAGTCTAAAAACCAAAATTATTAAAAAAAGTGAAACTTTTCCAATAAAATTCCCAATTAATACTGGCAGATGCAAAACATTAAAAAAAATCGAACAGAAGACGATACTAGAAAGAAATATAAATTCCGTGTACCCAGTTATTCACGAAAACGCTCTAGAGCTATACTGCAAATTTATTTTGTTCAAAAGAGAGTACGGAACTGCTAAAGAAAAATCAATATACGAAAAAATGACTCTTAAAGATTTCATAGACAGACTTCTTCTCAAACGAGCCGTTTTGTTCATAGATTCGTCTGATGAATTCTTGCTCATAAATAAAAAATGTGGGTTTGGAAATTGGGAGTCAATTGGTACTGCTGAAGAATCCTTTCCATTGATTATGGAAAATTGTTTAACGTACGATGAAATAAAATTATCAGTGTTTTTGTCTGTTAGTTCCTATACCTACTTCGTGAATCTAGGAGAGAGAACAAATTTTGGTAAACATTTGGAAAATAGGGATAAAATTGCGAGGGAAGGCATCATAATTGGCCTAATAGGTCCTAGATTGGAAAAAAGAAACGTAATGGAATATCAAGAAATTGTTTTTAGTAAAACACAAAATACAAATATAAATGGTTATGGTACCAAAATCAATGCCAGCATACACAAACTATTTTCTGAGTTCTATGAAGAAACTTGTATAGATTATGAAGAAGCATTGCAACTCAAAAACAGTGACAATGCAAGATACAGGAATTTGATAAATGATTTGCTTTTCGACAATCACTATTACTATAAAAGACTAACTATTTCCATCGACACTTTATTGGTAGAGGCCAATTATAGGGCTAAGGCTGCGGATAAAACTGCTTACATTCATGTTGTGGGGTTAGGTCTAGGTGTTTGGAAAATATCGTCACACCAAGAAGAAGTGTATATGGAAACTTTTGCTAAAAGAATTTTGTAAGTAAACATATCTGAAGTGATTTTGAAAATTTGAAGAAAAGATTATTTGTCCAATTCATATTGACATACTGTTGTCCGGGTTGAACCGCGTCTGTTATTTTCATCTATTGGACGTTTCGGCTGCTGCTTAGAGTGGAACTTAGAGTGGAACACAGCAAGCATAGAGCTAGTAACGAGATTTGGGGACAAGGGAGATTACGACCTCGTCCTCGAGTCATGTCAGTACAAATCTAAGTGATTCGTGAAAATGGCTCCAAAGCAGGAGCCGAAACGTCGAAAAGATGAAAATTACAGAAAAGCGCCTAACGCTGCTCANCTCAAAAAAATGTTATGTGACACCTTGGTTCTTTCTCATTTTAATTATTGCGATGTTGTTTACAGTCCTTGCCTTAATCAAGTCGAAATTCGTCGTATACAGAAAGTACAGAACTCATGTGTTCGTCTAATTTGTGGTATTACAAAAGTCAGTTGTATATCAATTACTGATAAACTAAAAAAGCTTAAATGGCTAAATATGCACAACAGGCGACGTCATCATATAGCTTGCCAGTTTCATAATATATTTAAATCAAAGACTCCACCTTATCTACATGAAAAACTCTCATATAGAATGGACATCCATAATTTGAATATTCGTAAACAAACCATTCTTACTATAGCATCACACTGTAAAGAAATATATAAACGGTCCTTTTCCTACAATATGGCAGTCTGCATAAATAATTTACATAAACTGGATGGATCATACCTACAACTATCGCCGTTGGCATTCGAATCCAAATTCAAAAACTACCTACTAAGTATTCAGTGAAGTTCTCAAAAATTGCCCTGCTCTCTCTCTCTCTAATCCTTACCTTCTTATGCTTTCCTTTCCTCTCCTTCTCTTTATTTACTTATCTTTACTCATTTAGTTTCGTTAATGTATCGCTATCTGTTAAAACTGTAAATATCTCTTTGGCATTGGTGGAAGAACAGAAACGGTTTTCAACTGTTATCTGAACCAATAAGTCCAGCCATTTATTCATCAGAATATCATTTGATAGCACTACCACTGCTGTATATTCTTCTGTTTTTTCCTCTGATGGGTAGGTAATAAATGTATTATTATTATATGTGCCCAGCTGAAACTTGTCATCCCCCTAATCTGCTCGTCAAAAAATTTGAAAATCGCTCAGACCCGTCGATTTTTATTTCAAGGGGAAACACTTTCACCAAATACACCATCACTGTGTTGTCAAACCCCTACTTCAGAGTTTTCAATGGTACTACTGTACCTACTAGTGATAGACCATTTTGAAGGGAATTCAATCCCAAATACATCAGTGTACTGAAAATGAGGATCGATCAAGTAAGTTGAAGTTGTAATGAAAACTAAGTTTTATCAAGATATTTTTTCATAACTTTAAATGTTATCATCGTAAGAAAGGTTCACTGTAAGTACGCCAATGTATTGTATGTATTATGTACACATCATATCAGTACGTGATTCAATTGATGAATGAGTTGATGAAGTCGAGATCAGTGCTGTATAAAAAACATGAACAAGAGAAGCCTATGTTCACATAGGCCCAAATATTTCTGTTCAAAAAATGAATATATCAACAAAAATTAACTAATAAAAATACGAAAAAGTCATAAATGATATTATTCAGGAGGAACCATAAATATATCCTATATATACTTATTATAATTTCTGTGGGAGAAACATAATAAACGATTTCTTTTTTTGAAGTCAGCCATGAAAGACATGAATCTGAATATCAGGATTTCAACACAATATACTATCAGTGAGGATGACAGTGTTCCATGTGAGTGAAATTTTTGTCTTTCATTTAGTATATTGTGTAAAAATTCTGTGAATGTTATCTGATTTAATTCTATAACGGAAGATTGGAATACAAACTCAGCAGAGAAAAGTTTTTTTTTTTGTATAATTCAGTGTTCATATAAAATTCGAAAGAATTTTTCTTTCGTATATTTCAATGTTTATATGAAAGTAGCTGTTTCAGGAAGGTTTTTTTCTTCCAGTTTGTGTCTGAATGTTACTTCTTTGCATAATCTACACATCTATGTATAGAGTTACTTCTTTAAAAATTGATTGCTTCCTTCCTTTCTTTGGAAAATTCCCCTTTTTTTGTATCAAGATGGAGTAGTAGAAAGCCAAAAACTTTCCCAAAAATTAGTCACTCCTAAAAATTACCCTTTCACTTTGAACAAGATTCCTTTTGGTTGGGATTTAATTAAATAAGTGAANGCATACAATGATGGACAAAACATATCAACTTCATTCAACTCCAGCTTCATTAAATTAATGTGATAGACAAATAAAATAACGGAAGTTTGAGAAATTCATCTAGAGTATAAAAATTTTGATCTAATAAAAACCACTTCCTTGTATTTGCATTTCATCTTGGTAAGATGAAATGCAATCACATTTCGACCTATTGGTATGTAGGTATGAATGCGCACATTTCAAAAATAAAAAATATCCGGGTAAGTTACAATTTTTAAATGTTTATATAAATATCTGCAGTAGGTTCTCTAATAAACGTCTGCTAAAATTCGTATAATCTTTTTTTAGGCAATAAATACATTTGGAGCCAATGAAGAGCTTCCCCAAAGGCAAATGCCACATCTCTTTCTAGCTTCTTCATGTGCATAGTAATAATTTATAACTGATCTGTGGTTAATATCGGCTTAAGATTTCGTATCAGATACGAAACAGAACTAAGTTTGAAATGAAGTAAGTTGGCGGCACACCATGATACCGATTGATTTGACACTGTGTTACAATTTTCTTTCAAAATTGCGTCCTCTTTGTCCAAAATTGGAAGTTATGCGGTCCCAACACTGATCCTTGAGGTACTCCTATGGTCAAAACTTGAGTATTTGAAATAAATTTATGACTTTTTTGACTCCTAAAAATATAACCCTTTCAAATCAAATTTATGACTATTTTCAGATTTATGATTCACCGAAACAATTGACTCCTGTTTCTGGTGAAATACTCTATCCAGTCAAGGCCATTTCCTCTTATTCCATATGAATATAATTCATTTAATAATATCGTGTGGCCGACGCAGTCGAATGCCCTGCTGACTTCACAATATATTCCAGCAGGGCATTCACCACCCTCGATGTACTCCAAGATTTTTGAGTAAAAAGCTGTCACAACAGTAATAGTGGACATATTGGATCGAAAACCATGTTGAATCGGGGAGATAATGTTATACCTCTCAAAGATGTAGGTATGCATATTCAAATATTTTTGAGAAACTAGATGGAACAGTGATGGGCATATAGTTCCATAAGAATATGGATCCGATTTTTTGTGGACAGGTACAACTTTTCCGATCTTCAATTTTTCGGGAAACACTCCTGTACTAAAGAACAGTTTGACTGATTAAGTCAAAGGATAAATAATGTATTGCAAATTTTTATGATCAAGAACATTGGGATTTCATCGGGTCCAGAAGAACTTTTATTCTAAAGTTTATTCGTTAGAAGAGATGACAGTTCATTATCTGTGAAAGGCTCAATAAATATAGAGTTATAAACATTAGTAAGATGATTGATATGATTATTGGATGGGTTATTATTTTTAATCTTCCCAATTATCTTCATAGGGGTGATAAAAAAATTATTGAAAAGGCAGGATATTTTTCGAAGATCATTCACAACCTTACTTTCATGTATTAAATATTTTTCATAGTTGTAGAAGAGTGTGTTATACTATTCATCACAACTGAATACAGAAAAGTGTCTTTTGTATAATTCAGTGTTCATGTAAAAATATTTTGTTTCGAAAGTTTTTTTTTCGTGTGATTCAATGTTCATATGAAAGAAGCTGTTTCTGTGTAAAGTTGGGGAAGTAGAAAGGCAACACCTTTCTGTCCTATGGGATGATTGGCGTAGATGGATATTTGTTTATTCAATCCGTAACTGCTCAAATTCTCATCGAATCTCTAGTTTGAACTGCGGCCCGTTTGTCCTATATCTATATATAAGGCATTCCAATCGTCGCACTTAAGCTTGTAGACCCCATATTTTTTGAAGTTGTCCCGCCATAAATGAATGCGAATTTTTATTTGTCTTGAGTGCTTCATCTATGATTCGTTTCTGAATGTTTATAGAATATCCGAGATATGATATAGACACGCAAAACGACGGTCATTATTTTCTTTCATTCGAGAGTACATTAAACTTAAAGTGAAACAATTTAGAATCAATTTTTTCAAAAAACAATTGTTTTCTTGACGACGTTTCGAATTTCATTAAATTCTTCTCTAGGGCTCGAAAAGTAGTTTCTTCGTGTTGATAATATCACTATTAAAAACCATAAGACATATTAGATACATATTAAATAAAAATAAAAACATTGCAGAACCAAATTTCCGAGACAACACCAACACAAAACGACATGAAAATTTTGCGATTCTGTTTTTGTGTACGATGTAGATTTTATATCCATTATTGGCGGCAATCTGTTCCATTCTGTTAAATTGATTGTGAATTGTTATATCTGTATGTGTGGATTCGGATATACTGAAAATTTGTATTTGTTGTCTGCGGCGGATATTCAAATCTAGAAAGTTTAGTGAATTGTGATCGTCTTCCATTTCCATTGTGAATTCTATATTAGGATTAAGGCTGTTCAGATAAATGAGAAAACTATTTGACTGAACGACCCAGCAAAGAACGATGTCGTCGACATACTGTTACCAATATTTTAACATATTTTTGAATTTAGGTGCATGGATTTGTTTTTTCAGATGATTCATGAATATTTCAGCAAGTATTATTTTCATCCTGCCCATTATTAAAATGATTTACACATATCAGAAGCCGAACCTGTAGAACATTCATAAAGTGATTTATTATCAATATTTTTTTTAGAAATCCGTGCAACTTGACACAATTTTTGTAGCTATATAGTTATTTTCCGAAAGTACCAAAAAAAATTTTTTTCAGGCAAGTTGTTAGTCGTTTCCTATGCTTGGGATGGAAATGCCTTACCTGGTAATGAATACTGGTGTGAAAATTTAAGTGGTAGCAATGATCCAGCAACAGCTTCTTCAACACAAATTGCCGAAATTCATAACCCTCATATCAATCCTTTGGTGTGTGCTGATAAATTAAGAGTTGTTAAAGATGGACAAATAGTGACTTTTGAGGAATATCAAAATCTTATCAGATGTAGCAAAGCTGACGGAAAAATGTAATGTATTTGAAAATAATGAAATATATGTTTTCGTTATTTTGATTATTAATATGTAATTATTCATTATGTAATGAATATAATAATAAACTGTTATGAAAAAGTAATTTTTCCAATGAGCTTCTTGTCTTTCCACCGTGAAAACCATAACAAAATATCGTATTAGATCATACAAATAACAAAAGTTATTTTTACATATTCACGGTTGAGAACTACATTAAACATTGTTACGTCACTCGGATTACAGACTAATGTGGAATACAGCAATCATGAGTTGAAAATCTAATACTATAAAAATGATGGAAGGATCTACCAACATAAATTCAAACGAAGATATTTTTCAGAACAGATTGAATGATGGGTAAATTAAAATATGATACAAATGCTGCTGTTGGCGTTTAGTAGCAACTTGGGTCATTATTGGACACCAAATCAAAGAACTGTATCTATCATGGATTTAACGACCACTGAGATTTCCAATACATCATGTCCAGTTTCAGTCCTCATGTGTTCTCGTGAGTCTAGCCAGCATTAGTATAGTTCAAGTAAACGATATAGTGCAACCTACCTTCCAACAGTTCCCCTTCAATAATATAATTAGGGATGTACTAAAGAACAGTTTG